CGGAGGCCTGTGCACACACATGGGGGAGGGGGGTGCGCGTGTGCTATGATGCAGTTTACTTGGCATCTGAAAATACATTTCCTCAAAAGTATTTTTAATCTGTAAAGAGCTTCACTGAGTGAGAAGTGAGCTCAGCAGTTAGGTTTCACTTTCACTTTGACCCGAGAGCCTGCAGGRGTCATGGGAGGGGTGTGTGGGGAGGGGGAGGGGGTGCGCTCTGCCATGAGGAAGCTTGGCTTAAAAACACGTCCCAGGGGCGTTTCTGGTACCAAAAGGTGTTTCTGGTCCCCACCTGTCGTTTTGCTCCTCAGCATGGCTGCCTAAAAACGCTGCAGGATTTCTCAAACATGATGAATGAGTCAGAGCAAGGCTTTGGGCATGCTTTTTTATGAGAGTATAACATTATAGCATGATATACAACTCATAAAAGTTGATTTTACATGATATTGCCCCTTTAAACAAAAATCTTGTGCAATCTGTTAGCAGTCACAATATATTTTGGAGAAGACCCTCAGCTACTACCATGCCAAATTTTAGCCCAATATCAGTAAAATTAACAGAGATTGAGCCATTTGTGTGCTACAGTTGATTAGCTGTGGGGCCATCTTGAATCGTGTTGATTATAAAAGGTAATCACTTACAAATGTGCATTTAATGATAACATTTTGAGTTTTTCATCAAAAACCATCCAGGAGTTTWTGAGACATTTTGCTAAAAGACATACARATATATAKAGAGAGAGASACACAYACATACACACAGGTGGTTCTGTGACTGTGGCAGCCAATATTAAACAAATTAAAAAGCAACAAACTTTAATTTTTTTTTGTTCCATTATGTCACTAAAAACAAGAAGTGAGTTTGTTCTTCTCCGGCTGTTTAAWTTTATTGTAAGCCGAAGCTGTCAAACATTTTGTTTTTAACATTTGATCAGTAGCAGGTCACAGTTTGATGACTAAACAGTAAGCTGTGAATAGAACAAAAAAAAACTCTTCAATTTTTGACTTCACATTAAGTTTGTTGGTCTGTTTACCACACTGCACTGGCGTTGCTCTGCTCTGCAGGGTGACGTGTGACGATCTGTCAGAAGTGATTTATCTGTGTGGTGGAAGTGTGAACGTTCAGCCAAATGTTTTATGAGCAGCTACGCTTACAGAGTATCGGTCAATGTGTGCTGGTGAGAGTTTGGAGAATGAGTTATGCTACATCTGAGGTTGAAAGGGGTCAAACAAAACATGCACGTTGTGAGACAATGTCTATAATAAAAATATATCATGAAMAAGATGGCTGCCACAGCTAAATAAACTTAAGAAGC